TGTGTGTGTGTGTGTGTGTGTGTGTGTGTGCTGCGGAGTGAATTGGGTGTGAAGAGGGAGCGGGGAAGTGCGCGAAGTAAACCTCTATGCTAGAAAAAGCGCGGGCGGTGTGCAGAGGTGAAAGGAGGAAAAACGAAAACAAAAACAGAAGGGCCAGACGAAGGAAGGGGAACGAATGGTGCTCGTATTGCGGAAGAGGGCGGAGGCAGCAAAGAGAGAAGGGCTGACCTCTCCCAATACATCAAGCTTTTATGTTTTACAAACTGCTGAGCAGCGCTGTAGCGTTCGGCTTTCCATTACACCATGAAGGAGAGTCAAAGGTGAGCCGTCAGCGGCGGCGAAAGAAGAGAAAAGACGGCTTCTGTACTTGGTTAGTGTGAGCTATTGTGGGGAGCAGGTTTTAATGAATGGTCTCTTCAGTTTTTCTCTTGCGGTCTGGAAATCCGCGGTGGAAAGCCGGAACTAAACAGATATATTGAGCATTCCACCTCATACGTCATCAAAGGGGGTCCCACCACGCTCACGCCGATGCTACGGCTGGCCCGTAGAACGCATCTAGTGCCTGCTGCAGCGGCGACATCACTCTCCTCTTCGTTTCTGTTGCCTCCTTCTTCTCGCTGCTGCCCTCTTCAACTTCGCGCCGAGGCTGGGCGAGTCCGATCACTTCCGTCGTCGTCACCCCGTGCAGCCATCGATTCGTCGCCGTGCAGAAGTAGCCGTAGCGGTCATCGACAAAGACGCCATCGAAGCACACCCACGCGTCCCCTGCCGCCTCCGCCAGCGCCGTTGGCCAGGTGTAGGACACCGTGTAGCCCTGCTCCAACATGGCCGCACGATCACGTATAAACCGCCGCCCGCCATCGTCGCTCACGGCGGACGAAGTCGCGCCCGCCGCGTCGGTGATCTCCGCGAAGAAACGCTTGTCGGTCTGCATTGGAATGTCCCACCACAGTGGCAGCACCAGGATGTAGTCTACCACGGCTGGCGGTTGCCGAGAAGTAGAAGCGGAAGTCGAAGCTTCCGCGGTGGCGCGGCGCATGTCCTTCGCGAGCTTCTGAAAGAGCAGCTCGCAGAGGTCCTCGTCGTAGGGGACGTCTAGAGTGAGCAGCAGCGGCTTCTTTTCGGGGTTGATGCGAGGGACGTGGCAGATGTGCAGAGGGTCGACGGCGACCGCGCTGCCGACGCTACCGAAGTAGCGATCCGTGTCGTAGAAGGCAGAGCAGAAATAGTTCGGCACCTCGTGCACCGTCGAGGTCGAGCTACCCGCCTCGCCGTCGCCTTCGTTGCTCTTGACCGCGTCGCTGAAGCTGCCAAGCTGTGGCACGCCCATGTAGGCGTTGATGGGCGACGCACACAGGTCCATCACGTGATAACCCATCGCGTGCAAATGCTGCTTCAGCCGCGTGTCCGCGCAGAGCTGCAGGCTGCCCGTCGCCAAACCACCTTCGTAGCGCAGGATCACGGCGGCCGCGCGCAGCTCAAATCGCTGCTGGCGCGCCGCATCGGGGTGCTCGATAGCAGCAGCACCGTCGTACTGTGCCTGTTCGTTTTCCTCGGAAAAGAAGTCGTAGCATGCTCGCAGCTTCTCCATGGCTGCCCAGGGCAGCGACACGGCAGGGCAGTCCCGGCACTGCTCCCTGCGCCAGTGCCGTGGCCACTGCACAGACACCTCCGCGATGGGGCCGGCAATGCGCTGCTGCTGCGCGGTGCGGTGCGGATCGGCGGCCTCGATGCGGCGAATGCGCGGACGCAGCGCCTGCGACGGCGCGACATCGCGCATGGCGGCCTCCACCGCCGCTGCCGCCTCGACGCACCGCTGCGGCAGGTTGAACTCCTTCACCAGTTTGGCAATAGCCGCCACGGCTGCCGCGTTGTGTGTGCCGTTCGACTTGAGGGACAGGTCCCGCACCAGCTGTTCGTCGTAGGTGACGAGGTCCGCTGAGGAGGGGCGATGGCAGTGGGCGGCCGCCTGTCGCAGCTGCGCCGCCGTAGGGAAGAAGTGAATGTCTGTCTCGTGCAGCTCCGCGGCGAGTGGCGATGATGCTGAAGGAGGCGTCGTCGCGTCGGCGCTGTGTTCTACGCTGGAGAGGTGCACCCGTGCGACCTGCGAGAGGATCCACTTGCCCAAGGCTTCCTGGGCGTGGCGCCACAGCTTACGCGGCTCGCGCCACTGCACCCCACCCTTTTCGTCCGCCGCCACCGTCTCCAACGCCTGCAGAAAGCTGCGGCGGATTCTGGTCCACTGTTGCACGATGAGGACCTCGCGGTGGAAGGACAGGGCGGGGTGGTGGCGGTCCACCGCATCCCCGTCGCTTGTGCGTTTCATTCGCAAACAAACAAAAATTGCTGCTTCGAAGAGTTCAAATGCGCTGCAACGCGCAGCAAAAAAGAAGGGGGCCGAAGGAGCCGAATAACAAAACTAATGATGGTGGGGGAGGCGGGTCGCGTCACGTGTGCCGAGACCGCCTTTGCCCGTTGACAAGAGAGTGCGTCTGTGTGCTTCAACTAAAACCGGAGAACATGCCCCACAGCTCAACTGCTGAGTCGGTTGGTTGGTGTCGTACGGCAGCACGAGTTCAAGAGACAACGTAAAGAATAAAGTTGTGTACCCTTAGAGGAAAGAAGCAGCGTGAAAACTAAAAAAGAATGGAGGAGTGCAGAGAAGCTCACGTAGAACCGGTGAGAGGAATGACGCGTTGTGCGCTGCGGCTTCACCGCCTCTTCAAACCGTATCGCGCTGGCGTTTGTCGAATGACGACCAACAGAACACGCAGGAGTAAACAAACAAAAACGTCGAGCACCAACGAAGCCTTCACTAATCCGTAATGTGTTGCATCCAGCTTTCTCCGTTCCTTGAGCACGATAAACGGACACCATATACCCTTCAACGGCGCCCCGCCGCATAGACGCACAGTGGAGTAAAAGGAAAATATATATATACGGAGGGCAGAGCAGGAGCGCCGCGTCTCAGCTGCGGGTTGCCTGCGCCGCCGCGTGGAGGACATCCCAGAGATTGGTAAAGATCGAACCCACGCTGTCTGCGATGACGTTCTGCAGATACTGTGTCGCCTGTGCGTTGGTCAGGTCCAGTCGCAGCCTCTCCTGCACCTTCAGGAGGTTCACACGGGGGTCCCCGCCGTCGCCGGTGACCTGCGGCATGTTCTCCGCGTGTGCCCCCAACAACAGCAGGTGCAGCAGCAGCGCAGCGTGCTTGCGCAGTGTGTTGTAGGCGCTGCAGCAGTACAGCTTGAACTCCGTAAAGCCGGTGCTCTGCGGCCCGCCCAGGACCTCGACCATCTCGCGATTGATCTTCATGGGCGGCGGGAAGGGCTTCGGATCGTTGCCGAAGACGTACCCGAAGTCAATGTGCAGCAGGCGGCCGTCTTGGGTGAGGAGAATGTTTTCCAGATGTCGGTCACCAATGCCTAGGACGAACGTGGAGACGCAGTAGCCGGCGAAGCTGCGAGTGTAGCGGTCCATCGCCTGGCGCAGCAGCTCCGCCGTTGGGTTGTAGACACGCAGGTACTTCAGCACTTCCCGCTGCACATTGAGGAACGTCGTCGCCTGCGGTACGATCTCCACCAAGCCTTCGCGCGGTCCTGTCGCAATGACGCGGTAGGGCGTCAAGTAAAGCTGCAGCCCGTCTTGCTGGAGAAGGTCGTCCATCACGCGCAAAAGCTGCACGATGAGCTGGTCTTGGCGCACGTCGTCGTCATACTTGAACATCATGGCGAGCGGAACCGTGTCCTCCTCCACGGACCCGACGGGGTCTTCCACAAAGGCGGAAGAGACTTCGCCACTGCTGTTGCTGTTGACATTTGCGGTAGAGCCGGCAGTGCGTTGCGTGGACACGGTGCGCTGTTGCCGCTGCATGGCAAGAGGCGTCAGCAAACACGCAGCAGCGGGAGATGAAGCGGACGGTGGTGCGAGCGCTGCAGGAGCCGCAGACGTGACGGTGCTCGACGACACCGTGGACACCATCGTCGGCCCGCTTTGAACGCCCGCGGGTCGTATGGCCTTGAACGTCAGTCGCATCGGCAGCTTGGCGCTCTTGAAGATGTAAAGAGAGTTAGGGAGAATCCCTGTGATGGGGACGGCAGGGTAGATGGGTAAGGTCACGACGCCGTAGCGGTCCAAGACGTCGACGGCGGTGGCCGCTGTTGTGCCTCGCTGCTGTGACACGCCTGCAACGGACTGCGTGCCGCGTCGCGTACGGCTTCCATGAAGTGGGGTCGTTGCTGAACTCAAGTTGGCGGACGACGTGGGGGCGTTCACTTCTTGCTGCTCTTTGCCGTTGCCAGCCGCAGCCGCGGCAGTGGCGCCCTCCTCGCCTTCTCTGTCGTTGTCTTCCTCCTCCTCCTCCCACGCCGCACGTACAACCGAGTTAACGGGGGAGCGTTCCTGCTGCGTCGAGGCGGCGTCCGTCGCAAAGCTGCTGTTGCTTTGACCGTTGTCCGCCGTCGCCGAGTTCGCCCGGCGCGGGGCACGATGACGCAACGTGCCAAAGAGGGCGTGGAGGCCGCAGCTCTGCTTCGCAATGAGCTTGTTGCCTAGCGACGTCTTGCCCAGGCGATCCAGCGCGCTTTGCTGGACTTGCTTGCTCAGTTGCTGGAGGACGCGATGCATGGCGTGTTGTTGCCGCAGGCGCGAAACGAAGAGCGGACTCTGCTGCGAAAGGCGATTCGCTAGACGCCGCAGGAGGGACTCGAAGACGGCCCCCCACGCGGGCCGTTCACGCGCTTGCGCCGGCGGTGGACTGCTGCCGCTCGCGTTGGCGCTGTTCTCGCCAGCCTTTCCAGGCCCACCGGCACGTCGACGCTCCAGCGCCACCTCCACCGTCAGCATCGTGTACACGGTGCTGCACATCTCCCAGCACCCTACCGCGCGGTCCAGCAAGAACGTCGCGAGCTCGCCGTCGGCGGAGTCGTAGCGGACGGCCTGCAGAAGCTGAAAGACAACCTGACACAGCCGCCCATCGCCTTCCTGCCGCAGCAGGCGGACGGCGTACTGCCGAACGGGCGCGACGCGGTCAAAGTAGAAGCTGAGGCAGGCGAGGAGGTCCGCAAAACCGGGTCGAGCCCACTGATGCATCAGCGCGCACGCCGCCCGCCGCTCTGTGGAGTGCGTGTTGGCCCAATCAACGCTGCGCATAAACGGCAGGAGAAAGCGTCCGTCTTTGCAGATGAAGCGGCGGTACTTCCACAGCAGGCGTGTCTCCTCCAGCCGGTTCACAGCCCCGCCCCCGCCTACTCCCGCACCGCCGGCGCCGCCGCTGCTGCCGTGGTCGAGCTGAAGAGGCGGGCGTCGCAGCAGGCTGGCCAGTTGATGACGCTCCTTCGGCCCCGGCGGTGCGCTGCTCTCGGAGACGAAGTACTGCGACTTGGCGGTGATGGCAGCCTTGGCCTCACTCAGGTTGAAATCCTTGAAGAAGGTGTACTGATCCGGAAAGAGGCGTTGGGCATAGTCGCCCGCGTGCTCCCTCGAGCGCTCCGCAGTAACGCTTCCATCTGCACTTGCTGCATCGACCCCCGTCAGCAAAGGTTCCATTTCACGCGCCCCGAGGGCGGCGGCGGGCTCGAAGAAAACCGCGGTGGTGGCCGTGGGAAGATAAAACACGAGGAGCGCGGCCTCCTCCGCAGCGTCCGCGCCCACTGCAGCGCTGCGCAGCATCGTCGAACGCGCACGCCTCGCTTGTCGGGCTTCCAGTTGGTGCACGGACAACCCGTCGAGCCAGGGGATGACCGGGAAGCGTCCACGATGGTACTCCGCCAGCAATGCGGTCGCGTCATCCATTGGAGGTCCTTCCGCGGTTGTTGGTACTGCTGCAGTGGAGTTCAAGGAAAGGTGCTGCTGCCCCACCCGTAGCTCTCCCTCCACCGCATACACGTGGAAAGAGGCAGCCCCCACGTCGATGTCGTTGTACCACAGGTGCAGCTCGCACGTGGCGTCCAGCGGGACATCGCACAGCTCCAGCGGAAAAATAATCCACTCCTCCGCAAAGACGAACTCCACCCGTTGCTCGTCGGGTGAGACGCTGGATGGGGAGCTCGAAGCATTGGGTGAGGCGTTGACGGAAGCCGCGTACACGGCGGACGACTCCACAATGGGGCTCAGTGGCTCCGCCATGTACGTGAGCTGTGCGGTGACTTGCACAGGGTACTGCAACGCGGTGGAACTCGCATTTACGCTGGATGGAGCAGGCGCAGGGCTGCATCCAAGGGGCCCGCCTTGTGCGAGTGCGTTCAACAGCAACGACCCGCGCACCAGCACCGAGCACAGGCGGAGTCGGTAGAGGAACTCCGTTGCCGCATAGTCCTGCGCGGTGCGAAAGGGTGGTTCAGGCAGCGTCCAGTGAAGGCGGTCCACCGAACTGGGCCGGCGTAGCACGTCTGCAATGAGCTGCGTGCTTGTGGACGTCATCACGTGCGCAAATTCCCGTTGAAGGAGGGTAACTACTTAAGAAGTCCACCAACGATGACTGAAGAGTTTGCTTTATTTGGCTTCCGTTGTTTTCCGAAGCTGATGGGGGACTTCTACCCTTTCGGGGGCTCCATTAAAGGAGCGGCACTCAATGAAAGGGGCGCGGCGTTGATGACGCGAGCAACGGGAGAAGAAGACACCAAGGAAAGACCGAGTGGAAGTGAAAGAAGAAGTACACACATCAGAAGGACGAGCTTCTCTGCATCTCGTGCCACAATATGGGCAATAACGATTCCAAAGGGGTGTCGGTGCGCCGGCATCTCCCATTAACAGCCTCACCGCGTCGCTGCCCCCACATACGTGAGTTGGAGGCCATCTGTGGAATGCAAGAAGTGAGGGGTGTCTTACGTTTATTGTTCGTTGGGCCTTTCTCTTCTTCTTTTTGTGATTATGGATGATTCCAGGAGACTTAAAATCCAGAAGAGGAGCACAGCAAATTGAACATCACAGCAACAAAGCACGTCGAGCCTCTCGTGCACACACACGCACACACACACACGGCATCACCGACATACACACATACACACACACATACACAAGCACGCAGGGGCTCCGAGTCGTAGAGCTGCCGTCTCAGTAGCCGGTCTCCTGCACCAGAGATTTGTAGGTGGCTGCCACAGCGCCCCTTTGCTCTCGCGCTGGTCGCATCGCACCCCTCTGCGTCTCGCCCTCCGCCTCTCCCGTCCGCGCCTTCGCAGCGGGCGGCTCAATCGCTAACATGCCGTAGAGCTCGTTGCGAGCACGGCGGATGCACACCGCGTCGTTGCCGTCCCACGTCACCTTCGCGAGGTGCTCCATTGCCCGCTGGCACCCCTCCACCGACAGGCCGGCCGTTGCGGCGTTGCCGGACGTCAACACGAGCAGGGACGTGTAGAAGTCCGCAGCTACCTTTGCTCGTACCTTCGGGTAGCGACTGGCGATCATCGTAAGCGCCAGGGCCCACGCACCACGGCGCACCTCCACGTCGGGGCTGCGGCAACAGGTGGCGAGCAGCGGCACCATCGACAGCAGCACCACGATGTTCAACGCGAAGTGCTTCAACTCCTTGCGAAGCACATCGAAGACGGAGGCGTGCTGCTCCACGGCAAAGACGCTCTCGTTGATGAGAAGGTCCAGCACTCGACTCGCCGGCTTCAGCATGCGTTCTTCGTGCGCGTGGGTGTGCAGCACCGCAATGAAACACGCAGAGAGGCGTTTTGCGACGGCGTCGGACGAGGTGCACGCGTCTTCCGTGCCGTTGGTGGTGTGAAAAGCACTGAGGAGGGCGGCAGTGGCGGGCTTGCGCACGTGCTCCGACAGATCGCCGGCTGCGACGATCAAACCTTCGAGCGCGGCATGGGCGAGGCAGGCCGGACAGCGCGTGAGCACGTAAGGGCCGACAAGACTTATAACTTGGTGCGTGTTGTGCCAGTTGATCGCCTCTGTCGATGCGGCTGGGTCCGTCAGCGTTGACAAATGCCGCGAAAACTGCAGCAGCTCCGCCCCGGCGCCATCATTCCCCACGTTCTCATCCCCAACGCTACGCGGAGGCTGCGGCGCACCCCACAGCACCTCCCCGCAGCGATCGTGCAGCAGCAGTGTCACCAGCACGCCTCCGGCAACGGCGCGTACGCGGTCCAGCTTCTCCAGCACACACCGCACGACCCCACGCAACACACACAACCCCGTCGCCGGCGTGCACAAGAGAGCCGCCGTCGGGGGATGCCGCAGCAGCAGCCCGTATTTCATCACGGCAGGAAGGCCGTCCAGCACCGCCAGGCGCACAAAGGAGCCGACGTCGCCGCGCTTGTCCGTCGCGTAGTCCTGCAGGGCGGCCATCATCGTGCCTTCCACAATCGCTGTGTACCATTGCGGGGTCACCGCCGGTGACGCGGCCACGTCCACGCGGGACAGCACACGCGCCAACGAGCGCACGGCATTGCGGCGCGCTTCAGCGTCGGCCTGCTCTGGATTGGCCACGTCAGCGGGACTCAACAGCGAGGCCGCCTGCAGCACCGGAAGGAACACCTCAAACGCACGTGACGCTTCTTCCCTTCCTGCGTCGTTCCCCGCTGCCTTTGCCGGGACCCACGGTGCGTTGACGAGAGTCGCAGGGAGACCGCCGACCGCCGCCAAGAAGCCGCGGCGCCGCATAGGCGGCTGATCCGCACCGCAGCCCTCGTACAGCTCCGTCAGAATCTTTCCGTGGAAGACAGGAAGGAAGTTCACGAAGTAGGCCGCTGCGACCGCCGCGAAGGTTTCCGTGGCGGCCAGCTGCACCCACTCCAGGATGTTCACCCACGTGTCGCGCAGAAAGCTGTAGATCACCTCCAGCGTGCGCACCCTCGCCACGCGGTCGCCCATGCGTGTCACCTCAACCGTGTCCGGCAGCTTCAGCTGTTGGGCAGCCATCGCCTGCAGCATCGCACAGCACGCCTGCCGCACGTACTCGCCGCCGCGTAGGCGAAAGCCTCGCGAGGACTCCAGCGTGGTGAGGATGTGAATGAAGCGCTGGACGTGGGTCGGAGTCCAGGTGGTGGAGGCAGGGAGGCTGCGGATGAGCTCCGCGACGGCGAGGATAGCGCCGTGCCGCGTCGCCACCGTCACGTCCTCCACCCGCCGCAGCAGCTCCGGCAGCACCTCCGTCAGCACCGTCTCGACGGGCTCTTGCGCCGCCACGAGCCCCAGAGAGATGGCCGCCATCTGCCGAATGGTCTTGTCCCAATGCAACAGCTTCACGCCGACCAACTCCCGCAGCATGCCGTCTCGGTAGGAGTCGTAGTGAGCAATGGCCGGCGCTACCACCGTGTAGGCGTGGCGCAGCGTGGCGAGGGAGAAGAAGTCCACCGTCGTCACCAGTTCAATGCCGTGCTCGAAGTTGCCGAGGCGGCCCACGCACTCCTGAAAGGCGGCCGCCGCGGCGCGGCGCACGTTGACCTCACGATCGAACAGCGCCGTCACGATGAGCGACACGCTGAGCTGCTGCACGTGTACGGTCAGGTCTTCGGCGTCGTAGGCACGGGCGATGGACCAGCACGTGTAGCACGCGGCATCCCGCACGTGTGCGCCGACGCTGTAGGTGCCTTTGCTGAGGTCGTAGGCGAGGCCCTGCGCCACCACGGGCACCACCCTCGCCAGCAGTGTCGTGCCGACCAAACTGCGGCGGCACAGCTCCGCGATCGTCAGCAGGCCACCGTGCCAATGGGCGTCGCTGTAGGCGTTGGCAAACACCTCCAAGACGGCCTCCATCACCTCGCCGGCGAAGGTGCCGGGCAGCCGTTCGCACACGCGACCGACGCCCTTCGCGGCGCTCCAGCGCACTACGGTGTCCTTGTGGCCAATCGCCTGCAAGAGGAGGCCAATGCCCGTCTCAATGCTCTCTTCCTCGCCGTCGATCACATCGTCGTCCTCCGCCGCCTCCTCCTCTTCTTCCGGTGTCGCTGCGTTGGGCGCGAGGGCGAGGACGACGGCGTCTGCGCTGGTCGACGCCAAATTGGCGGAGAGAGACGCGATGTGACGACGGTAGCGCCACCCCGCTCGCTTCTTCCTCAGCATTGTCAGCACCAGCCGCTGCCCGACCTTCACGGCGGTCTTGCACAGCAGACTGTCGTTGGGGTGCTGCGCGTACACGGCGGAGACGGAGGCGAGGAGTGTGGCCGCGAAGGGCACCAGCTCCTCCCGCCGACCCAATTTCATCGTCTTGGCCATCGCCAGCAGCACACCGGGCAGCAGGAAGGGCTGGGAGAGAAGAGAGCTGAAGGTGCTCTGCGTGCCCTCTACTAGGAAAGCCCACGGTGCGTGGTGCGGCACACGTTCCACAGCGGTGGCCGCCGCTGCCGCCGCTGCTGCCTGCCCGGTCCCTTCGCCCGACTTCACGGAGGACTCCAGAATGAAAGTGGCAAAGTCAAAAAAGAGCTGACGGTGCCGTGCGCTGTCCGGCCGAGTCAGCAGCCGGGCCACGAGCAGCGCCGCCGCCTCCCGGCACTTCGACGTGTCTGCCAGAAAGCGACTGGCGGTGACGAGGGTGGCATCGGACAGCGACAGGCGCGCCGCGGCGTTGCTTTCGGACTGGTTCGTGTCGACCAGGACGAGCGAAAAAGGCACGAGGACGAGGTTCGACAACCACAGCAGCAGGCAGTAGCGCACTTCCCACTCCCGTTGGCGGGTCGGGTCGGCCACCCACAGCTGTAGCGTGTAAAAGACGTCCTCGTAGTGGCTGACGTTGTTCGGGAAGTGACTCGTGCAGCACTTCTCGCCCGCCGTTTTGATGATGCTGTAGAGGGCCTTGCAGACGAGATGGAGGGGGGTCTTGGGGGCGTCCGAGTCGAACATGGACAAGTCTTGCCCGAGGCTGCTCGTGACCACCAGGGTGGCGGCATCCGCGGCGGAAGATCCACGAGATGAACCGTCTGAGGGCGCCGACGGCGCTGCTGCTGCTGTTTCCGCACTTCTCTGCGCTGGCTTCTCTCTCGCCCACACCTCCGCCGCATTCGGCAAGTATCGCAGCAGCAACTCTACCAGCGGCTGCATGAGAGCCTCGAGGTGCGGATGCAGGAGATGCGGGCTGTCTTGATAGCGATCGACGATGGCAGGTAGACGTATCTCCAACATGGCCGCCACACCCTGCGGATCGATGCCAACTGAAGGAAGTAGTTGCGCATTGGTAGGAGGCAGCAACTCCGCCGCACGAGCCAGCAGCGCCGTGCACGCGGCTTCCTCTTCAAAGAAGGAGGGCTCACACACGTCTTCGCTCTCGTCCGCAGTCGCGTCTCCCGCTTCCTCGCCCTTCACCTGGTCCACAACTTCTTCTTCACTGCCCAGCGGCTCCGCCGCCGCCGCAGCGATGTCCTCTGGGCTTTTTACTAGCGTTGACCCGCTATTCATGATTACGTAATGAGTGTGTGTGTGAGTGTGGAAACAAACTTCTAAAATGAATATGAAGAAACCTGTGCTCCGTAGAAGGGTGCACACTGCAGTGGTCCGTGAGAGAGAGACACGACACAAGTCGCTCCTTATCCCTCCTCCGTGCGCAAACTGCCGGAAGGACGGGCCATGATTTCAACACAACCAGGAAGTGGCGACACGGGATAGAAAAGGACGGTGATCCAGAAAGCGAAGGGCCCGCTCCAGGGCGTTGTGCGCGCACAGCAGCGATAGCACGAGACTCGCATTTGAAGCCCACGCAACGGTGCGGCTCAGTACACTGAGAGATGCGTGTGGGAGTTCGTGGAAACCGTAGGGGGGGGGGGGTTCGATAAAGCAGTCAGTGCGCGTTTTCTCTCCTGTTTGTGGAACTCAGCCACGTTGGCGCATCTCTTCGCCCGTCCCACGTGACAAAGCGGGACGGGCGCAAAGACACAACAAAAACTACAACAACAACAAGATATGTTTATCTTCATGTGGTGATCACCAACCGGCTCAGTGAAACCTCAGAGTCAGCGAAAGTTCTCCGTCGATAGTGGCAGAAGGGAGGAAAAATAATAGTAACGAGAAAACAGAAGAAAGTCATTGGCAAGTGAAATGAGCTGCGAAGAAACGAAGAGAAGACCCTGCAGGGGGGAGGGAGGGAGGCAACGGTGGGACGAAAAGACGGTGCGTTAACCTGCGCTCCCCCAGACGTCGCACCGCACGCGTCTGAGGAGGAAAAGGGGAGGGGAGAAGAAAGGACCCGGCGGTGCAACTTGTGCTACTTCGCAGCCATGCGGGTCGCGCCGTCCAGGCGGATGCACTCCCCGTTCATGTAGCGGTTGCTGAAGAGGAAGTACACCAGGTGGGCGAACTCGTCCGGATTGCCCAGGCGAGAGGGATACGGAACGGTAGCACCGAGAGCGTCGCCCACCGCCGGCGGCAGTAGCGGGGTCTGCATGATGCCTGGGCAGATGGTGTTCACACGAATGCGATGCGACGCAAACTCACGCGCCAGGGGAAGCGTTAGACTGACGATGCCGCCTTTACTCGCGGCGTAGGCGGCCTGGCCAACCTGCCCCTCATACGCAGCCACGCTGGCGGTGTTCACGATGACTCCGCGGTCCGCTTCCGCCTCCAACGCCTCCGTGTTCTTCTGCATCGCCTCCGCGGCGAGGCGGCACACGTTGAAGGTGCCCAGCAGGTTCACCTGCAGCGTCCTGTTGAAGAGGTCCAGCGGGTGGCAGCCCTTCTTGCCCACCACCTTCGCAGCGGGGCAGATGCCGGCGCAGTTCACCGCACCAAAGAGGGGCTTGCCGCAGACGTCCTGCGCCGCGGCGATCGCACGTTGCACGTCGGCCTCGCTGCACACGTCCGTGGCCACGAAGTGCCCGCCAATCTCCTTTGCGACCTTCTCGCCTTCCTCCGCGTTGCGGTCCAGCAGTGTCACCTTCGCACCTTGCTGGGCGAGGAAGCGGGCCGTGGCAGCACCGAGACCGGACGAACCGCCCGTCACGATGATCGGACGGCCGGTGATGGATTGAATAAACTTTCCCTGCATGTGCGAAAGGAGGAGTAAAACACGCAAAAACGAAAAGGAAAGAAGGCGTTGTCTTGTAAACTTGCAAGCAACGCACGTGCGTTCGACGTGTGAGTTTTTCAGAAGGCGGCGGGGCAAGGCAGGAAAGGAAAAAGGCGGCGTTGAGCTGACACAGGAGTGTGCGTGTGCACGTGTGTGTGTGTGTGTCAGCAAGAAACGACGAACTCAATGAAAAGAAAGCGGAGGCGTTAAGAAAAGGAATGAATGGATTGGAATTGGCGCCGTCGTTACCGTCATGGCTTAATAATAATAATAATAATAATAATCGACCGTTCAATGAAGCCGTCTCACCATCCCTGCGGAATAGCACTTGTAGCTGAATCGCTTGGAGGCGCCACGACAGTTGCCCGGTCATGGATCTCTGCAGCCCGCTAAATCAACGATAGCTTGCCCATACAGGAGGGCGTCCTCCGTTATCACCACCAATACCAAAACTTCGTTTCATCTCTCCCTTTCTTTCTCTTTAGCTTCGCTAGCAAGAAATACAATTTAAAAAAGCCGTTAAATGCAACTAAAAACCTGCAAACTTCACAACGAGAAGAAGCCGTGAAGCAATTCCAGGCCGCAGTTAAGACGCGCCAGCAGCAGCGTTCGCGAACGCAAAGCCTCCTCCTCCCCCTCCCCCTCCCCCTCCATCCACACACACGCACGCTCGAATCACTGGCGAAGCGCCAGGCAGAAGCACGAGTGGTTTCCGTCTTTCCGCGGACCTCACTCTGCCGCATGACACTCGTCTTGCACGCGTTGTCGAGGCGTAACTCGTTAAACGAAACAAACTAAATCTGTTTATTTGCTTTTCGTGTTTAGCGTGAAGCCGTGGATTGCGCTAATCTCATCCTTCAGCACGCCGTTGACGAGGCGGTGCTGCTGAATCAGTGTCTTGCCCTGAAAGACGGGAGAGACGATGTCGATGTTGAAGAAGCTGCCGCAGCCGGCGCTGGCATCGACCACCTTAATGGACCGTACCGGCTGCAGAGCTTCGCTGGACTGCAACTTGGCTTGGATGTCCGCCGCCGTGTAGGAGACAAGGAGACGCGGCACCACACGAAGCATGGATAGCTAAAAACGGAGAAGGTTTCGTAGAATATTCAATATGTAAACAGGTGATGCTCACAGTCCGATCGGTGCGCTGTTTGTGTTGAGTGTGCCGCTCGCCGCAAGATGACGTGGCGATCCGAAAGAAAGAAAGTGAAGGAACGCAATAGCCGTGAAGAAGAGGCGTGTGCCCGATTTGATCGGAAAACCCAAGCGGTGAGGGGTGGGGCGGAGTCGGCCGCGGAGGGAAGGGCGGGACAATGGCCGCCGCACGTCGCCCGAATTCATTACAGAAACGACTTCCTCGCAGGATTGAATCGGACAAGCAAGAAACATCGACGTTAGAGTGCGGGTGGTTGACAGGCCTGCACGACTCACTACGTAGGCAAGGTGAAGGGTTAGATAAAGCTTTTGTTGTTGCAGATCATGTCGAAGGGTGGTAAGTACACAGCAGAACACTTCCTCTGTGTGTGTGTGTGTGTTTGGAGTTGCTGGGAAAAGTAACTGAGGAGTCACATCCGGTGTTTATTCGAGCCGCCGCCTCCGTCCCTTCACCCCCTCCTCGTCGAAGGCCGACGGTGGGGATGCGGAGTAAGCATCAGCTGACGGCTGCACTTCGCGGATGACTCGCGACAGGTCGAGCGCTGACGGTAGCAGCAGGTCCTTCACCACCACCACGGGCCCCGTCGCCGGTGTGGGCGGAGCGACGGAAGACACAAACTTCTCCACAAGCTTCTGCAGTCGCGCTCTGTCCTCCGCCGCAAACGGAATCTCCATCCAAAAGAAAAAGCTGCCCCGGCACGCCGCCAGCGGCGCCTTAGCAGTCGTCGAGCCACGCATCACTTCCTGCGCCAAGTACTGCAGCCAGCCCAGCTTCAGCGGCTCCAGTCCCACCTCTCCGAGAAACTGCAAAATGCGACTGATGCGCAGGCAGTTGTGGGAGTGGTGCACGAGGTTTTCATACCGCGCTGCCCACTCCGTGTGATTGGAGGTACGCCGTAGCTGTGCTTCCAGACGCCCTTCTTGTGCCAGCGACGTCGTGTAGGTGATGTCCGTCCCGTAGAAGCGCAGCATCATGCGGAAGGCTTGCAAGACACGGGCCATGATGAGACCGTCTCGCTGCATCTCGTCCGCCTCTGCCGTTGTAAGCAGCGGCGCCAGCCAGTTCACGCCGCGCTCACGCAAAGGAAAAAGCCACTGGATGTAGTCGTGCCGGTACTCCAACTCCTCTGGACACCAGCGTGGCAAAACCCGACCGTTGCTGCTCTCGCCACCGTAGGCGAGAAGGTCATCGACGTGTTCGTTGCCAGGAGAGGCGGGCAGCTCCCCTCGATAGAACTTCCAGCAAGATCCATGCTGCGCGTTCGATGGACGGTGCGAGGACGAGGAGGAAGAAGAGACTGCACCTGCGGCCGCGGCTTGATGCCGCAGCTGATAAGCCTCGTGATATGCGCGCAGGCAGCGCTGCGCCTCCTGCCGAATACGGGGGCTTGCGAGCAGCTTGTACTCCATTACATTCTCCGTGTTGTGCTTTAGGAAAGGGGGGGGGGAAGGTCGTTAGAGGGCGTGAAAGCGGTGGTGCTGAGGAGGTGCGCACCTACACTAGCGAGCTATGCTACAAAGTCGAAGCGGGAGAGCCAGAGGGTTGTCTTAGCCACCTCACACGCACACACGAATTGCGCAGAGAGAAATTGCAGGAAAAAGGAATGAGAAGGAGGGAGAAGGGAAGGGAATCATTTTTTTCATCCGTGTCTTCTGACCGAATAGACTGCATCCACTGGCGTGCTGAAGGAAGGGGTACGCAGTGCACGACGTCGACGAACACCTACAGGAAGCACATGATACTCAAACGACACCATCTGGCCACCCAGCGGCGAGACAAGCCATGGTGTGCCAATGACTCGTCAAACCAAGGCCAATGAAGGACCTTTCATTTCTTTGAGGAGGCGCTGCTGACCTTTTTTTTTGGCTGTTTTTGGCTAAAATGATGAAAGGAAAAAAATGTAATAAGAAGGCGGGCGAGGGTGCCGCCCAATTGCTGGGAACGCAGTCCTCGCCGTCTCTGTCTCTCGTTTGCTGATCGACTAGCGCTCAGCAGACAGACAGCACAGAACAGGAAAAGTTCTCCTCGTTCCACTTAGTCCATCTGCTGCATCGCCTTGTCCGCGGCGGAGATCTTGCCCTTGCCCTTGTCGCTCTTGCCGGAGCGGTCCTTGCGCTCGAGGATGGCCTTGCGGTGGTGGGACAGCTTCAGCTTTGTGATCTCGACGTTGGAGGGGTGGATGCCGACCGGAACGGTGGAGCCGTTCGCCTTCTCGCGGTTGACCTTGTCGATGTGGATGACCCACTTCAGGCGGTAGCACGCCGTCACCTTACCCTCGCGACCCTTGAAGGTGCCGCGCTTCACAATGACCTCGTCGTCCTTGCGCACCGGCATGGCACGCACGTTGTACTTGGCGCGCAGCTCCTTCGAGAGCGGGGCGCTCATCAACACGCGGCGCACGTGGCTCGGCGCCTGGAAGTGCGCGCGGCGGGCCTTGCGGCGGGAACCACACTTGATGCTCACCATCTTGTCTTACGCGCTAATAAGATAAGAGACTGCCGAATTTGTAAGCGAGGCAGATGAAAGGGAGAGGAAAGGGGGGGGGGGGGAGGGAAGTAACATTGGGAGAAGAGAAGGGGTCAGAGGCACGAAAGCTGCACCAACTGGGGGGAAAAGACACGAAAACAGAAACGCGTTCTTCGTCCTTCTGAAAGGAGAAAAAAATGAACAATTGTGACGCTGTTTGCGGACCCGGCAACGACTTCACCGTTGGCCACAAAAGTGCTTACACTTCTTTCGCTGGCAACGAAAAGGCGCGCTCCTTTCAGCTAGCATCGCTACACGCGCATACTAACACCTTTTTGTCTTTTTGTAAGTTTATCCACCGTTTTCCAACACATGTAGTTTTGTATGCAGACTCCCCGTTTCACAATTTTACTTGGAAACTCAAGATATCCTTCTCCTGGGCTTCGTACACTTCCTTTGGCTCGTAGCGCGTCCGCTGCGTTGAAAGCAAACAAAAAGGTCTGAAAGAAGAGAAGAAACAACCCACAAAACAAGCAAACAATAATATATAATTTAATAAAATGGGAGGAAACGAAGGGGGTAGATGTTTTGAAAGTTGCACAGCACATGTCGGCTCTTTATTGTTTTCTTCTTTTCGAAAAAGCCAAAAAACGGTGACCACACTTCTCAATTTGGAGGGGACTGGAGGAGTTGCGAAGACAACCGACAACACGTGTTGCAGGTCAACAACAAAAAGGCGAAGTCAGCACGCGCACGGAGCAACTTCCGTCGTCGCCGCTGCTGTGAGCGTGCCTCGACGCCTTATCTCCCTGCCGTACATGACGTCGTACTTTCCCTTTCTTCCTCCTTCTTTTTGCGGCAGCGCGGCGACTCCGCTCAGTTTTCGTAGAAAGAGGAAGAAGCAAAACGACGTCGAGACGAGTCGGTTGTCTCGGGAAATAGTGGAAATGGAAAACTAAGGAAAAAATAATAACGGGAGAGAGATTGAAACGTGAAACAAAAATATACTCGAAGCGTGCGTGTTTTGTCGCCTTCGGAAAGAGAAATTTATGACGGAGCGGCGGGTTTTCCTTTGCTGCAGTGGCTCACGTCAGCAAAGCGTCGTTACTAGAATAAAATAGGTATATATATATGTATCACTTCTCGTTCTTTTTGGCGTGTCGTTAACCCGGATCTTTTGATGGAGAGTGCGCAGCCGTGTTTCGAAGAAAAATCTACTGGCCCCAAAGAGGTCTTTGCAGATGACGATCCGTGCTGGCCGGGACGCCTGTTGTGCCGAAGCACGCCGCATCCGTGTTCTCTGCTTCGTTCTTCCGCCGTTTACATCTTGCTGATCGCAGAGTTCTTCAGCGGCGCGTTGCCGTTCGGGAAGCGGGCCATCAGCTTGCGGCCGGCGTCCGTGACATGCTCCAGGGTGATACCGAATCTCTTGTACAAGGCCTCCGCAGGAGCAGAGGCGCCGAAGCCGGGCATGCCGATGTGCACGTGCGAGTACTTCTCCCAACCGAAGCTCACGTACGGCTCCACGGACACCACCGGCACGCCCTCGGGGAACACCGAGCGCTGGTACGCCTCCGACTGCTCGTCGAACAGCTCCTGGCAGGGCATCGACACAGCGCTCACACGCGCCTCGCCGGCCAGCGCCTTCGCGGCGTCCACGGCGAGCGAAACCTCCGACCCGCTCGCCACGATCACCAGCTGCGGGTTCTCCACGTCGTTCAGCTTGTACGCGCCCTTCTTCACCCCCTCAATGCTCGACCCGGGCTGCGGCACCGTGTTCTGGCGGCTCAGGCACACCACGGACGGGCGGCGTGCATTGGCCACCGCAACGGCCCACGCGCCGCTCGTCTCCGTCTGGTCACCAGGACGCAGCAGCAGCAGGTTCGGCATCGCGCGCAGCGCCGCGACGAGCTCGACCGGCTGATGCGTCGGCCCGTCCTCGCCGAGGCCGATGCTGTCGTGCGTCGCCACGAAGATGGAGCGGTGGTGCGACAGCGCGGCGAGGCGGATGGCACCGAGGGCGTAGCCGATGAAGTTCAGGAAGGTTGCCCCAAAAGGAATGACGCCACCGTGCGCGTCGAGGCCGTTCACGATGGCCGCCATGCTGTGCTCGCGGACGCCGAAGCGGAGGTAGCGGCCGGCGTAGTTGCCGGGCTCGAAGTCCGTCAGATTTGCCGAGGCGGGACGCGTGAGGTTGCTCGGCGTCAGGTCCGCTGAGCCGCCAACCAGCGCGGGGACCGCCGGGAACAGTGCGGCGAGGCAGTTCTCGCTCGCCTTGCGCGTCGCGATCGACTTGTCGTTCAGCGGCAGCTTCGCCTCCCAGCCCGCCGGCAGCTCGCCCTTCAGCTGCGCCACGAACGCGGCTCCTTCGGCCGGGTACGCGGCCTTGTACTTCTCCACGCGCTCCTCCCACGCCTTCTGCTCCAACACGCACTTCTCCACGTGCTTGCGGAACGCCGCGTACACCTCCTCCTCCACGAAGTACTTCTTGCTGGGGTCGCGGCCGAACTTCGTCTTCAGCTTCGCGATCTCCTCATCGCCGAGGGGGGCGCCGTGCACCTTCTCCGTGCCCTGCTTCGAGGAGCCGTAGCCGATCGTCGAGGTCTGAATGATCATCTTCGGCTTGCCGTGCGTCGCCTTCGCCTCCGCAAACGCCTTGCGCAGGGCATCGAAGTCCGTGTCCGCGTTGGGCACCTCAATGACGTGGAACCCAACCGCCTCGTACTTCTTGCGGTTCTGCTCCGTGAAGGACAAGTCGGTGCTGCCGTCGATGCAGATGTGGTTGCTGTCGTACACAACGATCAGCTTCTCCAGAGCAAGGTGGCCAGCAAGCGACAACGCCTCCTGGCACACGCCCTCCATCAGGCAACCATCGCCGCAGAATGCGTACGTGTAATGGTTGACGATCTCGTGGCCGGGCTTGTTGAAGGTGGCGGCGAGGTGTGCCTCGGCCATGGCGAGACCCACGGCGTTGCACACACCCTGTCCGAGCGGGCCGGTCGTCACCTCCACGCCGGCCGTCACGAAGCGCTCCGGGTGGCCGGGGGTGCGGGCGCCCTCCTGGCGGAATTGCTTCAGGTCGTCGATGGTCAGGTCGTAGCCGGCCAGGTGCAGCAGGGAGTACTGCAGCGCACAGGCGTGACCGTTGGACAGCACAAAGCGATCGCGGTCCGCCCAACTCGGGTCGGCGCAGTTGTACTTCATTATCTCCGTCCACAGCACCGTCGACACGGGCGCCATGCCCATCGGCGTGCCGGGGTGCCCGCTCTTGGCGCCCTGCACGATATCAGCGGCGAGGCAGCGGATGCAGTTCGCAATCTGTTCAGGAGTGGCCATGATGGATCAGTAATGCGGGCTCAAATGTAATATGAGAAATAAAAATGAGAGAGGGCGGTGTAGAACGGAGGTGTTTCGTTTAGTGTGTTTTTGGTGTATGAAAGAACTGCGGCGCGAAGTGCGGTATCCGCAACGGCGACACGCAAAGCAACGGCACCAAACGTGGGAGGCGGGAAAGGAATATTTATACAAGGAGGAAGAGCGATGGTGGAAGCACGTGGAACATGAATGTCATTATTTTTCGGATGCGTGTATATGTCGGTGTGTGCCTCTTGCCCACCCGCAGCACGACGGCGGACGTGTTTGACACGTGTCAGAAACACAGATTCTGCCAAACGTTGCCTTCTTTTCTCAGACACTTGTGGGACAGCAAACTTCAATGGCTTCGCCGCTGTTGTCCTTTCAAATGCGCTGCGGTGTTTCTGCCAGGCCGCGGTGGACAAACGGCACCTGACCTTTCTTTTCTCCTCAACTTTTGTAGTTGTTGGTAAATGAATAAATCAAAACAAAGAAACAAAAGAGTTGCTCTTGCACAGATGGGATAGCCGCCTCACGCGCCGATCGCGGAAGTGCGCTTACTTCTTCTTCTTCTCCAGGCGCTTCTGGTAGAAGGCCAGCTCGGCACCCTCGAGCACGATGCCGTCCGCGCGGCCGGTCTGGCCAGGGCGGCTGGTCATGCGGGCGAGCAGACGGCCCTCGCGCAGCTGGTCAGCAATCGCCTTCTCGATCTTGTGCTGGCGGCGACGGCGCACCCACTCGCGCTGCAGCTTCGGGGAAGCCTTGTTCACATCGTACTTATCCGCGGTGGCGGCGGACTTCTTGCCCTTCTTCTCCGCACCCTTGGACACCTTCTTGCCCAGGTCCAGGTCGATGCCGTAGTGCTTGGCGTACCAGCGCTTGAACGGCGCGGCGTCGATGGCGACGATGCAGTTCTTCACCAGCGTCTTCGTGCGCACCAGCTCGTTGGAGGTGGCGTTGTACACGACATCCAGAATGCGGACGCGCTGGGCAATGGCCTCGGAGCCCCAGGAGAAGTTGCCGGTGTCCAGGCGCAGCGCACGGATCTTGAAGTTGCCACCGCGAGCACGCACAGGGCTCACGCGGCGGGCACCAAGACGGGTGTTGGCGGGAAGGCGGCCCAGCTCGGCCTTCATGCGCTTCCGGTGGATCTTCGTCTTTCCACCGGTGATCTTGCGCTTGTGCAGACGGCTGCGAACAATACCCATGGTTGCTACTCTCTTTACAGCACAGGAAGAGTCAAGGGATTCACATAACCGGGTAAGCACCGCACCAGAAGCGGGTGTTGCAGCAAAAGGCAATACGAGAGAAGGAGAGGGGGAGGGGAATAACACTGGGAGAAGAGAAGGGGTCAGAGGCACGAAAGCTGCACCAACTGGGGGGAAAAGACACGAAAACAGAAACGCGTTCTTCGTCCTTCTGAAAGGAGAAAAAAATGAACAATTGTGACGCTGTTTGCGGACCCGGCAACGACTTCACCGTTGGCCACAAAAGTGCTTACACTTCTTTCGCTGGCAACGAAAAGGCGCGCTCCTTTCAGCTAGCATCGCTACACGCGCATACTAACACCTTTTTGTCTTTTTGTAAGTTTATCCACCGTTTTCCAACACATGTAGTTTTGTATGCAGACTCCCCGTTTCACAATTTTACTTGGAAACTCAAGATATCCTTCTCCTGGGCTTCGTACACTTCCTTTGGCTCGTAGCGCGTCCGCTGCGTTGAAAGCAAACAAAAAGGTCTGAAAGAAGAGAAGAAACAACCCACAAAACAAGCAAACAATAATATATAATTTAATAAAATGGGAGGAAACGAAGGGGGTAGATGTTTTGAAAGTTGCACAGCACATGTCGGCTCTTTATTGTTTTCTTCTTTTCGAAAAAGCCAAAAAACGGTGACCACACTTCTCAATTTGGAGGGGACTGGAGGAGTTGCGAAGACAACCGACAACACGTGTTGCAGGTCAACAACAAAAAGGCGAAGTCAGCACGCGCACGGAGCAACTTCCGTCGTCGCCGCTGCTGTGAGCGTGCCTCGACGCCTTATCTCCCTGCCGTACATGACGTCGTACTTTCCCTTTCTTCCTCCTTCTTTTTGCGGCAGCGCGGCGACTCCGCTCAGTTTTCGTAGAAAGAGGAAGAAGCAAAACGACGTCGAGACGAGTCGGTTGTCTCGGGAAATAGTGGAAATGGAAAACTAAGGAAAAAATAATAACGGGAGAGAGATTGAAACGTGAAACAAAAATATACTCGAAGCGTGCGTGTTTTGTCGCCTTCGGAAAGAGAAATTTATGACGGAGCGGCGGGTTTTCCTTTGCTGCAGTGGCTCACGTCAGCAAAGCGTCGTTACTAGAATAAAATAGGTATATATATATGTATCACTTCTCGTTCTTTTTGGCGTGTCGTTAACCCGGATCTTTTGATGGAGAGTGCGCAGCCGTGTTTCGAAGAAAAATCTACTGGCCCCAAAGAGGTCTTTGCAGATGACGATCCGTGCTGGCCGGGACGCCTGTTGTGCCGAAGCACGCCGCATCCGTGTTCTCTGCTTCGTTCTTCCGCCGTTTACATCTTGCTGATCGCAGAGTTCTTCAGCGGCGCGTTGCCGTTCGGGAAGCGGGCCATCAGCTTGCGGCCGGCGTCCGTGACATGCTCCAGGGTGATACCGAATCTCTTGTACAAGGCCTCCGCAGGAGCAGAGGCGCCGAAGCCGGGCATGCCGATGTGCACGTGCGAGTACTTCTCCCAACCGAAGCTCACGTACGGCTCCACGGACACCACCGGCACGCCCTCGGGGAACACCGAGCGCTGGTACGCCTCCGACTGCTCGTCGAACAGCTCCTGGCAGGGCATCGACACAGCGCTCACACGCGCCTCGCCGGCCAGCGCCTTCGCGGCGTCCACGGCGAGCGAAACCTCCGACCCGCTCGCCACGATCACCAGCTGCGGGTTCTCCACGTCGTTCAGCTTGTACGCGCCCTTCTTCACCCCCTCAATGCTCGACCCGGGCTGCGGCACCGTGTTCTGGCGGCTCAGGCACACCACGGACGGGCGGCGTGCATTGGCCACCGCAACGGCCCACGCGCCGCTCGTCTCCGTCTGGTCACCAGGACGCAGCAGCAGCAGGTTCGGCATCGCGCGCAGCGCCGCGACGAGCTCGACCGGCTGATGCGTCGGCCCGTCCTCGCCGAGGCCGATGCTGTCGTGCGTCGCCACGAAGATGGAGCGGTGGTGCGACAGCGCGGCGAGGCGGATGGCACCGAGGGCGTAGCCGATGAAGTTCAGGAAGGTTGCCCCAAAAGGAATGACGCCACCGTGCGCGTCGAGGCCGTTCACGATGGCCGCCATGCTGTGCTCGCGGACGCCGAAGCGGAGGTAGCGGCCGGCGTAGTTGCCGGGCTCGAAGTCCGTCAGATTTGCCGAGGCGGGACGCGTGAGGTTGCTCGGCGTCAGGTCCGCTGAGCCGCCAACCAGCGCGGGGACCGCCGGGAACAGTGCGGCGAGGCAGTTCTCGCTCGCCTTGCGCGTCGCGATCGACTTGTCGTTCAGCGGCAGCTTCGCCTCCCAGCCCGCCGGCAGCTCGCCCTTCAGCTGCGCCACGAACGCGGCTCCTTCGGCCGGGTACGCGGCCTTGTACTTCTCCACGCGCTCCTCCCACGCCTTCTGCTCCAACACGCACTTCTCCACGTGCTTGCGGAACGCCGCGTACACCTCCTCCTCCACGAAGTACTTCTTGCTGGGGTCGCGGCCGAACTTCGTCTTCAGCTTCGCGATCTCCTCATCGCCGAGGGGGGCGCCGTGCACCTTCTCCGTGCCCTGCTTCGAGGAGCCGTAGCCGATCGTCGAGGTCTGAATGATCATCTTCGGCTTGCCGTGCGTCGCCTTCGCCTCCGCAAACGCCTTGCGCAGGGCATCGAAGTCCGTGTCCGCGTTGGGCACCTCAATGACGTGGAACCCAACCGCCTCGTACTTCTTGCGGTTCTGCTCCGTGAAGGACAAGTCGGTGCTGCCGTCGATGCAGATGTGGTTGCTGTCGTACACAACGATCAGCTTCTCCAGAGCAAGGTGGCCAGCAAGCGACAACGCCTCCTGGCACACGCCCTCCATCAGGCAACCATCGCCGCAGAATGCGTACGTGTAATGGTTGACGATCTCGTGGCCGGGCTTGTTGAAGGTGGCGGCGAGGTGTGCCTCGGCCATGGCGAGACCCACGGCGTTGCACACACCCTGTCCGAGCGGGCCGGTCGTCACCTCCACGCCGGCCGTCACGAAGCGCTCCGGGTGGCCGGGGGTGCGGGCGCCCTCCTGGCGGAATTGCTTCAGGTCGTCGATGGTCAGGTCGTAGCCGGCCAGGTGCAGCAGGGAGTACTGCAGCGCACAGGCGTGACCGTTGGACAGCACAAAGCGATCGCGGTCCGCCCAACTCGGGTCGGCGCAGTTGTACTTCATTATCTCCGTCCACAGCACCGTCGACACGGGCGCCATGCCCATCGGCGTGCCGGGGTGCCCGCTCTTGGCGCCCTGCACGATATCAGCGGCGAGGCAGCGGATGCAGTTCGCAATCTGTTCAGGAGTGGCCATGATGGATCAGTAATGCGGGCTCAAATGTAATATGAGAAATAAAAATGAGAGAGGGCGGTGTAGAACGGAGGTGTTTCGTTTAGTGTGTTTTTGGTGTATGAAAGAACTGCGGCGCGAAGTGCGGTATCCGCAACGGCGACACGCAAAGCAACGGCACCAAACGTGGGAGGCGGGAAAGGAATATTTATACAAGGAGGAAGAGCGATGGTGGAAGCACGTGGAACATGAATGTCATTATTTTTCGGATGCGTGTATATGTCGGTGTGTGCCTCTTGCCCACCCGCAGCACGACGGCGGACGTGTTTGACACGTGTCAGAAACACAGATTCTGCCAAACGTTGCCTTCTTTTCTCAGACACTTGTGGGACAGCAAACTTCAATGGCTTCGCCGCTGTTGTCCTTTCAAATGCGCTGCGGTGTTTCTGCCAGGCCGCGGTGGACAAACGGCACCTGACCTTTCTTTTCTCCTCAACTTTTGTAGTTGTTGGTAAATGAATAAATCAAAACAAAGAAACAAAAGAGTTGCTCTTGCACAGATGGGATAGCCGCCTCACGCGCCGATCGCGGAAGTGCGCTTACTTCTTCTTCTTCTCCAGGCGCTTCTGGTAGAAGGCCAGCTCGGCACCCTCGAGCACGATGCCGTCCGCGCGGCCGGTCTGGCCAGGGCGGCTGGTCATGCGGGCGAGCAGACGGCCCTCGCGCAGCTGGTCAGCAATCGCCTTCTCGATCTTGTGCTGGCGGCGACGGCGCACCCACTCGCGCTGCAGCTTCGGGGAAGCCTTGTTCACATCGTACTTATCCGCGGTGGCGGCGGACTTCTTGCCCTTCTTCTCCGCACCCTTGGACACCTTCTTGCCCAGGTCCAGGTCGATGCCGTAGTGCTTGGCGTACCAGCGCTTGAACGGCGCGGCGTCGATGGCGACGATGCAGTTCTTCACCAGCGTCTTCGTGCGCACCAGCTCGTTGGAGGTGGCGTTGTACACGACATCCAGAATGCGGACGCGCTGGGCAATGGCCTCGGAGCCCCAGGAGAAGTTGCCGGTGTCCAGGCGCAGCGCACGGATCTTGAAGTTGCCACCGCGAGCACGCACAGGGCTCACGCGGCGGGCACCAAGACGGGTGTTGGCGGGAAGGCGGCCCAGCTCGGCCTTCATGCGCTTCCGGTGGATCTTCGTCTTTCCACCGGTGATCTTGCGCTTGTGCAGACGGCTGCGAACAATACCCATGGTTGCTGTTCTGTGAGGATTTCAATGTGCAGTGTGCGGAACCAGGGGGTCGAGAGAGTGTGAAGAGAAGCAATGCGAGTAAAAGAGGCGATGGAACACACACGACACGAAGTATCTCTTCTAGAGCTAGCAGTTGGCGAAGAGCTCTGCTGAGAGGGGATTAAGGAATTCGAAGACGCCGCACGGTGTGCATCAGCAGACCTAAGCGCCCGCAAAGCTGCGAATGAAGTCGGTAGTTTCTTGTTGTTGTTGTATATCGAAGACCAAATGCGTGCATTTGGATTGCAGCACCATAACAGTGGGAATACAGATCAATATCGAGCTACTTCCTTGGCCATCCGTAGTCACCGCATAGTGTAAAAGCAAACGAAGAAGGAACTACTTCGGCAGCGCCAACGCAGGATCGCTCATGTGGGTAACGGCGCAAATAGAAGAAGGGAAAAGGTCGAAGGCATCGCCTCGACCGACGCGGCAGATAGAAAAACAAAACCAAGAAAGAAGGTAAGAGACTCCGCAGCACCGATCTCTTCTCGCTCCCCATCGCTCCCTGAATACGAAGACAAAAGGCAGAAGCACTCACAGGAAGTGCGCAGTTGTCTGCCTGCAAAGCAATACGGCGACGGAGAGGTCGGCGTGGTCCGCCCACAACACGCTTCGTCGCGTCACAGTCATGAAACGCAGCTTACGAGGCATTGGGAGATGCCATCACGTATTCTTTGTGCGCACACAAGGCCGCACAGTGCTGAAGAGGCAGGTGATTGTTCAGGCCAGCAAGCGTCGGGTAGGCCGCGATGAGCCAATCCCGCATGCTGTCCACTCCGGTCTTACCGCCAAGGTATAGCTCCGTCGTGTCGTTCATGAACTTGCCACGGAAGCGGCCACCAAACACGACCATCGTGTTGCGGCAGACCACCGCCACGTGGCACTCCCGCCGCGCCGGGTATTCCCGCTCGATGTCGTAGACCGGCTCAAACGTGTTCGCCTCCACGTTGTACACGAAGAGATCGTTCAGCTTCTTCTTGCCGTTCCACCCACCAAAGACGATGATGTTGCCGTAGTGCACCACCGCGCTGTTCCGCGCCCGGCCAAACACCGGCGCGTTCGTCACGTCGATGCGGCGCCACATCGAGGTGTCAAACGAGTAGAGGAAAAAATCCTCGCAGCACTCACCAGCGCTGTTGCGCCCCCCAAAGACGATCATCTTGCGCTCGTAGGTCATGGCGGTGTGGGCGGAGCGCAGTGGGGGGACCTCGCCGTGCTGCTCACACTGCGCCCACTCCGGGTCACTCAGGCGGCAGCGGTAGAGGTCCTGCAGGCGCTTGTTGCTGTTGCGGCCCCCGCACTTGCCGCCAAAGACGAACATCGTCCCCTCGAATACGACGGCGCTGTGGCAGTAGCGGGTGGTGGGCGGGTAGAGTCCGCGCACGAGGACAGGGTGGCAGTCACCCGTCTCGCTGATCGAGAAGAGCTTGTTGAAGCGTCCGCGGCCGTTGCAGCCGCCGAAGATGTACATGAGGTGGCCGTACCACACCGCGGTGTGAAACGCACGCGGATGTTGCTTCTCCCCTGTCAGCTCGATCTTCTGCCACTGCTTCTTGAAGACGTCGTACTGCCACAAGTCGTCAAGGTAGTTTGACACGCTGTCGGAGTCGTTGACCCCACCGTAGACGTACGCCTTGCTGCCGTCGGCGTTGGCGCAGAAGGAGTGGCCGATGCGGCCCAGCGGGGACGACTCAGGCGGGCAGTCCACCAGCGTCCAGTGGCGCAGCGGGGGTGTGGGTCGGGGCATCGTGAAAGGAAAGACAGCTCTAAAGTGCAGGTCGGACTAATGTTTGGGGTTGTGTTTCTCTCTGTGTGTGTGTATTGATGGTTTGAGCGTGAAGTAATAGTAATAGCAAAGGTAAAGCAGAATAACAGCAATAACACTTCAACTGTGTGTACTGAAAGCGGGCAGTGAGCTATCTTCTTCCACTGAAAAAAAAAATGCCTACTAGCGTTTTTGCAGCAGTTATCTCTTGTGATGGGAGTGTTGCAAGCCTCAGAAAGGGGGTTGCCGGTGTCACGTAAGCGGCTGGGCAGCTGCAAAAGGAAGAAGAAGGGAGGAATGGAGATATACATTGTTTAAAAACAGATGAACCACAAAGGTTTTCAGATTCAAAAACCTGCAATTGCAACTGCTGCGTTCGAATGCATGGGAAAAGATGGAGGATGCTGCAGGGCGGCGTGTCAAGGTGCGTCTGCCGCAGTAACGCAGCATCAACCAAAGGAAGCCATTCCTATTGCTTCCTAAACCACTTGAAGCTGTCCGGTTTTGCTCCTTCTATTATGTTGCTGCATGAAGTGTGAGCCACTGAGGTTCAGCGACCGCAAGCCTTTGGAGGTTGCCTGCCGCTCTATTCGTCGATATTCACGAAGGGAAAGGACATGCGCACCGTCGCCTTGGTCCACGTCGGACACGCATCGCACAGCGCCGTCACAGCCCTGTCAGCGACGCCGCACTCCCGCTGTCTGCGCACTCCAAAAGGGAGAGAAATACGCACGACGCACCTCCGATGTCTCACATGCCAAGGTCGTCCTCGCGGGGCCTGCGTCGTGCCTCTCGCCGCCGTTTTTGTTTCGGGAGGTCCAGCTTGGGCAGTTCACGCCGCTGCGCCCCCTCCACGTAGTCGGGCGAGTAGTCGTCCTTGTCGCTCAGCGAGTCCTCCGCGGCGACGGCGGCGGTGCTAGTCGCCGGTGCACCGAGGCCACCGCTGCTGCTGCTCAATCTCGACGCTGCGGCTTTGGATTGCGTGTCAGGGGAGGCGGACGCCACACCGACATTACTGTCAACGCTGTTTTTACTGTTATGCGTGCCTTCGACCAACGCATCCATCGAGGCCGCAGAGAAAGCTTCAAAGACGATTTGATTCGCTGCCTCATCGCCCATGTAGCGCACGGCGTCGAAGGCGTCCTGCAGGCGCTGCAGCTCCGCGGAGGAGGCTAACGACCCATCGTCCGCCACCCCGTTCTGTGCCACGTCGAGCAGTCCGTGCAGCTCTGCTCCACTACGCGACTGCACGGCGTGTTGACGGATTGCGCTGTACAGCCGCTGCGGCAGCACCCTCTCCCACGACAGCACCAACGATTCAAACCACAGCCGCGTCTGCCCTCGGTGTCCGGCCAGCTCCCAGGGAAGCTGCTGAATCGTGTACTCTAGCAGCCGCGGTGCCAGCAGGGGCACGAAGACGTGCGGGGCGTCCTTCATGAGCGCGTCCATGACGTACCACAGCGTGCGGTTTGGCGGCGCGTCGAGGTCGGACTGCTCCATCAGTACCTTTCGCAGCGCCGCCCACGTCTCGGCGGCCTTGGGCAGGTGGCGCAGGGCGAGCGCGGCGAGGGCCTCCACTCGCGCCTCGGAAGGGTTGCCTTGCTTCAACACGGCGTAGAAGAGCTGCTCGTTGTACAAGGACGGCGAGTGCGGGGCGCCGGTGGTGACGGCGGCGGACGACATGTTGAGGGAAGTTGTCCCCCGTGTTGCTTCGCACAGCGCACGTTGGGAGCTGAACGACCTCGCAGCGCCTTCCCGTAAAAACACGAGCGGTGGGAAACGCTGAGAAAAGGAAGCCAACGAAAGAGCCGGCGATGAGCCCACAGAGAGACGAGGCGCGGTTAACGGAGGGAACTTCGTTGGCGAAACTGGTGCGGCAGCCGTTTTTGTGAGAGCACGGTGGAGATTCCTAGAGAAAGGCGAGGGAGGCAGCGTAGCGAGGAAGTTTTTTTTTTTTATAGGTCGGTCACAAAACCGCATTGGAAGGCACTCTTCTGTCCGGCCGTCTGAGCAGTTGTGCGGCGCGGAAAGGAACGTGAAAGCAGACACGAACAGCGCCACAGAGTGGCGGCTCAAGGTACGCCAGCTTCACCGCCCCTGCAAATCGCCACCGTTTCAAACACAGCACAAAATGCCACGCAAAAGGCCCATTCAGCATGCCGCCTTTTCATTATTATCATTATTACTCTTATTGCCTTGCTTTCGGCATGCATTGAATTTTCTTTCTTTTCGCTTTGACAGTCATCCTACATTTTAGAGTCAACACGCACTCTGGTGTCACATCAGTCGCAGACAGCTTGGATGAACAAAGGAAATCAAAAGGGGACTACATGTTAGTTATCAAGTAAAGTAAAAACAGAAAGACATCGGAAAGGTTAGTGGAAGATGTCTTGCTTAAATGAAAGAGAAAAGGAACGAAAACAAAACAGTAGTCGAAAACTTAGCGACGGCGATTGCAGCGTCTGTTTAAAGAGAACAGTAAAACGAAGGACTTATTCTTCTCTTCGCCTGTTTGCCTTTTTCTTTGCTTTTTGTTTTTTGTGGTTGCGTTTCCTCATCGTTTCCCGCAGCCGCCGTTAAAGCTGTGACGGCGTTCTTTTTTTGATGTTTATTATGACCTCTTCTTTTCTTCCGGGCTCCGCGTCTGCGCTGCCGCGCCGCACCGCCTGCCCGCCTTTCACCCCGTCGTGCCGTTGTGTTCTGCATCTTACTGCACCAGAAGACAAAAAAAAACAGAGAAGAAAGCAAAAGTAGCTCGTTGGAGGAGTAACCAATTTTTGTTTGTTTGTTTGCTGATTGTCTGCGCGCACGCCCCACCGATGCAACGCAGAAGGGAACGAAGGAGAGCGAGCAGAAGCCAACGTTTTCACGCGCGGCGTCATTCCAGGTGGAATGAGCAAGCGAAAAACGTGAGGTTGAAGAAACACACAAAACAAGCCCCACAGTCGTAAAGCGCGGAAGGAGAACAACGAACACAATAAAACCAGATACAATGCTCGGTACTTGCATACCGAACGAGGTGCGGCGGCAAAGGGGCAAAAGAAGGAAAACTAAACGAAGGTATTGCGGAGCGTTTTGCGTTACGCCTTGGGGCTTGCGAAATATGGTCTTGTTGACAGCAAAATGATATATATATAGGTGGAGGGACTGCTGGAATGCTCACGCGACGTACAGTAAGTAGCGGTGGTGCTTCCTACTCCCTTCCGTTTCTTCGTATTCCGTCGTTTCTCGTGTGGATTCCAACGGACACACACGCTCGCAGCAGGAAATAATAATAATAAAAGTAGAAATAAAAACATAAAGTCAACAGTTCTTTCGCCTTCAACCTGAGACATCTGCGCTTCGTCGTCCAAGAGACTTGTAACGAGACGAAAAGAGAGGACTCTGTACGGCAGATTTCGAAGATGAGGGCATCAGGGGAGAAGGGCCACACGGAAGATGAAGCGGAGGCTTGTACATGGCCTGTACGCATTCGCATATATGCGTTCGTAAAACGCACGCTCGCCAAACGTACTGGCTCACTTCAACGCATCCCCTTTCCCCTCGGGGCACCCAATTTGAACGTGAAAACAACGGAGCAATAGAGAGAGAAGAGAAGATAATACGGAGGCGGTCTCGTGTGACACTCCACGTGGAAGCGCACAACAACGTGAATGCGACGAAGGCAAGGAGCAGAGAGAAGAGAAAAGAAGGCGGGCCAACGGAGGTATTTCATAGGAAGGGAGGCGCAGACGCGAAACTCGCTTTACCCACCACCACCACCCCTTCCTTCGTGTGTATCCTTCTCCCGCCCACCCTCCTTTTGCCTTTTCAGCTCCGCCTCTTCCCTTACTGGATGTAGCGGTAGTACTCGATACCGACATCTTGGAAGGCGGCCTCGTTGCGGCTGCCCAGGCGCTCAATCACGAACTCCATGTTACGGAGGTCCTTGGCGACGTCGCTCTTCTCCGCGCCGGTGTGCAGAGCCTCGTACTGCGCCTTGTCGAGGTTAATGGGGTTCGCCAGGGCCTCGCTGACGTTGATGTTCGCGGCAGCCTTCTCCCAGCCCGGGACCGGCACAATCGGGATCGCCATGCTGGCGTCGCCGGAGCCGTAGCCGACCATCACCATCGGCTTGCCGGCGATGTCGAGCTTGCGGGTGTAGGCCTCCTCAAAGCCGGCCGCCAGCCAGCAGGGCAGGGAGGCGGTGTAGAGGTTGCCGAAGTTGCCCATCGCCGCGCTGCCCATGCTCATCTTCTTCTCCAGCAGCTCAATGAACTTCTTGTCCTTGCGCAGCGCCTTGGCGACCTTGCCGGTGGCCGGGAAGGCGTCCTTCGGCTCCGCGCCGTTCTCGATCTGCTGGAAGTACATCGGGTTCACGTCGAGCTCCTTGATGACCGCCGCAGGGTCAGCCTTGGCAGACTTGCACAGCTCCGCAAAGTACGCCTTGTGCTCGTCGGAGGTGGCGCGGGCGAGTCCTCGGGCGTACAGGAAGGACATGGCCTGGATCGGCATCATGTTGTAGGGGCGGTGGAAGAAGAGGGCGGAGACGTCGTCGTAGTACTTGCCCGGCGCGGTGTTCAGGCGCTCCAGCATGTGCTCGACGGCGACCGTCACCTCCTCCTGGTACACCAGCGTGCTGTAGGGGCCGGAGAAGACGGGGAAGTCGGCCATCTTGCCGTTCGCGGAGCTCTTGCTGTACTCCTCGAGGCCCATGAAGTGGCGGCGGTGCGGCTTGCGGAAGTCCGGGCCGCGGTAGTCGGAGGCAGAGCCGCTGCACTGAAGCTGGATCTCAAACAGCTTCGGTTTCTGCTCAATCGCCATGGCCGTCGCGCCGGCGCCCTGCGTCTGCTCGCCGGTGGAGCCGAGGGCGTACTCGGCGACGTCGGACGCCACGGCGATCGCGATGCGGTCCCCGCCGTCGGCCGCGGCGAAGCGGGTGGCGCTCTCCATCGCGTACACGCCGGCCAGGCACGCGTGCTTGAACTCCGGCACCTCGCAGTGGCGGGAGATCGCCGGCATGTTCATCGCCCGCAGACCCTTGTCCACCATACCCTTCACGATAATCGCACCAGCGGAGTTATCCGAGGACGTCTCCGTGCCGAGGCCAAGGAAGCCAATCTTGCTGGGGTCGATCTTGTTCTTGACGATCAGGCGCAGCACGGCGTTGGCGGCCATCGTGTAGGTGTTCTCGTTCGTGTTGGTGATGCGGAAGGACTGGCCCACGACGCTCTGCACCTTGTCCCAGCTGTTGCCGGTCCACTTGCACCACTGCTCGAGGTCCACGCGACAGTGCGGGGTGTACACCGCCATGCCGCTGACACCGGCACAGAGAACAGGCGAGGCGCGCATCATCACGACTTCTTGTTGAGAAGAGAGATGAGGATGGATGTGTGCTTGTGTGCGTGGGTTCGCGTGACGAGGGCGAGAAGGTCGAGGGCTGAAAAGAGAAGAGGTTAGGTAATGAACGTAAAAGATAAGGTAATGATGGCGGAAAACAAACTAGACGGTAAAGTAAACTGACAGTAGTGCAACGACGTGTGAAGACGACAAAGAAAAAAGTGAGCAAAGAAAAGAAGGAGGTGAGGGAGAGAGAGAGAGGGTTGCGCGGGGGAGAGGAGGTGCGGTGGTCTTGATCGCGGCGGCGCGTTGGGGAACATTTGAAACCACGCATATACATACACTCTTGCAACGTGACACAGCGGCGTTCGCTTCTGTGCGGCACCGAACGGGATGAAGGAGGGGGTGGGGAGGATGCCAAACGTGGGTGAGGGAGGCCTTCCATGCACGCAAAGGGGCCTCTCCTCTTGCATTCGGCGCGAGTCACCAGCATTAGCTGTCACCGGTGATGCGACCATTTCTTTATTCTTGTTCATCACCGAAGCGCCCCGTTGCGGCGGCTCTCTTGGCTTTTGTCGTTGCCGTTGTTGACCGCGAAGTGCAGCGCTGTTCGAGCATTTGACGTTTGCAACTTGCAAGCGAACACCACCACCTAAGGGACGCATGTTTACTCGTACGTGTCTCAGAGAAAGAGGTACGCTGCGGCGAGGACGTGCGCGGTGCGCGAGAAGGAAAATGAGAAATAATACGAGAAGAGAAGCCATGAGAGGACGACGGGCACAAGAAAGACAAAGCAATATGAATGAAAAACAACGGCGCAACGAGGCACCGCCCCGAATATCACGCGAGCAGCAAACACCCGTCTACTCAACAACGAAAAAAAAAGGCCTGCGAAAACAGAATGGTAAAAAGGATCTACGATGCACGCACAACGCCACGGATTAGTACATCGTCTTCGTCCTCTGGCGGGTTTGGTAGTTGATCCATGTAGTCCACTTAGAGTCCTTGCGGTGCTCCAGGACGCGCCGCACCACGTACTGACACCACGGCGAGTCCTCCGACGACTCAGGCAGCGTGTGCAGCGGCGGCACCCCGGCACCGCCGTTGATCAGCTCCGACGAAGGCCGCGACATGATGTACTGCACAATGCCGTAGAGCTTCTCCAACAACTCCGCGCCGGAGGTGCGCATGGCGTGCGCAACCGCCTTACACGCGGTGCTGACGACGTCTACGTCCGCCACGACCGGCGACGGGTCTGGGTTGGTTTCAAAGAAGGCCACTCGCACGAGGTCCAAGTCGGCAAGGATGAGGGGGGCATCCGCCGTGCTCAGGAAGACACCAGCGCCGTCCACGTACACCGCAAAAAGGTAGGCGACGAAGTTGTGGCCCACTCGGTAGTGCACCTGCCGCACCGCCGGCTCGTAGTCGAGGCGCGCGCACACGACGGCGGTGGCCTGCTGGATCTCCTCGATGATGCGGCCCATCGTAACCTCTGGGAAGGCGCGGGGCATCGGGAAGTCTTCGTTCTTGCCGTGGTTCTGCTTCATCGCTTGATACTGCTTCGTGTCGAGCCGCATGAACTTCGCGAAGAGGTCCTTCACGGTGCCGTTGGACAGCGTCTCGATGCTGATGGTGTCGCAGAGTTGCAGCACGGCATCGTAAACGCTCTGCGAGTGTTCCTCCTGAATGTCGGTCATCCCCACTGTAGGTGCACCACTGACGCTGCGCACGAGCTCGTAGGTGCGGTGCGAGGAGGAAAGGCACTCGCAGAACACCTCTTTCAGGCGCACGACGGTGTGCAGGCGGTGCACCGCGCCGGGCAGCAGGGGCTCGTTTGCGTTTCGCAACGCGGCGGCGCGGTGAATACGCTCGTACTCGGCCGCGATGTACGGCGTCTTGGCGTTGCTGGACGCCGGCGCGACTCGCGGAACGCCCTCCATGCAGCGCCGCAGGAGGGCCGTGGCGAACTGCGCCCAGCTCACCAGCCTGACGTGGTGCTGCGACGACGGGTCGCTGCCCAGCGGCGGCGGACGCGGCGTGTCGAAGACGGTGCGCAAAAAGCCCAGCACGTCGCTCGGCGGCTGCGTCGCGTCGTCCAACGTCGCGGCCCACTGCGGCTGCAACTTCTCCAGTTGCTGTTGGGCAAGGCTGGCGAACGACGCCTCTTCATCCTTCGCCAGGACGCTGAACGGCGCCAGGTAAGTCTGGGTGCAGCGCACCAGCAAAGAGCTCAGCTGTGGACTGTGGCCCACCCACTTATCCCCGCCACAGCTGCCGAGGAGGTACAGCAGGTAGGCGGACATGGCAGCTTGGAAGTCGCTCGGCACCTCGTGGTGCGCGCCGGGGTATGCGTTACCCCAGTGCCGCACCAGCAGGATGTAGGCGCCAATGCGCAGGCGTCCCGGCACGAGGAGGAACATCGCCAGAGGGAAGCTACGCGTCAGCATCTTGCAGTACGCCTTCTGCTGTGTGTCCAAGCCGCTGTTCACCTGCTGCAGCAGCACCGCTGCGGACCCCGAGGACGGCGCACGGGCGCTGTCTGCGTCTTCGTCCACGAGTTCCGCGTAGTTGCGAAAGACGCCGGAGTTCACGAATACCTCCATGAAGGCCAACAAAAACGCTTCGCCCTCCTCGGTGGGCGGCAGCACCTGCATGTCCTCCACGAGCACCATCGCGCTCAGCATACAAGACGGGAGGGCGAGGCAGGTCTCAATAAATACGGCTGACACGCTGCGCTGCATATCGTAGGAGAAGGTGGAGTCCAGCCACGGCATCGGCACAGCGGCAAGGCAGAAGCTCTCCTGTAGGACGTAATAGGCGTACTTCACAGGAGGGGTGAGTTGGCTGTCAGCGATGTCACGGGCGCCCAGCGAGCTGACGGCACGCGCCACTCCCTTCAGAAACACCGCCTGTGCCTCAACGCTACCGCATTGGTCGTTGGCCAGGAGCTGCGCATGCAGATGGCAGTACTTCTCAATTCTCGAGGAGATACCCATACGAGACCGCAGCAAGGCGAGGCAGTGCTCCACGTCCTTCTCTGTGTAGATGGGGCTCAGCGTGCTGAGGTCGAGCTGGTACAGCGGCATCAGACAGGCCGCGTACACCATCGCACGTACGGCGAACGGGACGAGCGCGTCGCCCGGGCTGTCGGGAAAGTTTTCGATGCAGTAGAGCAGCTGCTCCGTGCGGGCGACGTAGTCGTCGTCGGTGCTCTCCTCGCAAAGCAGTCGCAGCAGTTTGGCGTCGCCGCGGAAGCCGGCGATGTACCGACGTCGCTCTGCCACGGCGGCCGGGTCCGCCTCATTAAACGGCGCTTTCAGTGCAGGTGGGGTGACGTTGGCCAGGATGCGGCGGTGCTGCTCCTCGCTGATGTTGAACACACGGCGATAGACGTTGCGCATCTCTGCGTCGTAGACGTCGCGCTTCTTCGTCGTCAGCACACTCGCGCACATGACAAGGTTGTCGTAGGCGAAGATGGGGAGTACGTCGAGGAAGGCGGCGACAGGGGCACTGTTGAGGACCTCGCACAGTTGAATGTTGGGTGGTTTAGGGAACTCCTTCGCCGCGGTCAGCGCCGTAGCGCGCGCCCGCCGGTGTTCGTCCACGGCGTCGAAAACGGGCCCGAATTGCCGCGTGATGGCCTCCGACATCGTGGCGGGAGTGCTGCCGCACAGGGGGATCTGCAGCTGCTCCATGCGCCGGGCCGTGTCGGGGCTGCCGGAGTCCTCGCTGTGTGGGGACGCAGCGCTGGCTCCTTGGCTGGAGTTACGTGCCACCCGAGCCGTGGAGAAGGGATTCAAAAAGGAGCCAAAGATGCCGCTGCTACCGCTAACAGACCGCTGTTTGATCGCTGTCGGCGAACGTGTCAGGATGCGCTGCGTGCGTGCTGGCGCCGCGCGGGTGTTGGGGCTGCTGTTGCTCTGCTGCGGGTCTGCCCCGTTGAGGCCGCGGAAGGTGCCCACAATGTGCGCGAAGAATCCCTTGCTCTGCTCCGGCTCCGGGGTGGCGTTGTTGCCACCGTTGCTGCTGGCGGTGCTCGGGCTGATGTGCGCGTTGGCGGGGTGCGGCGGCGACTGCTCCGAGGCAACAATTCGCTGCTGCGACTCCGCCGGAGGACTGGCCGAGGCAGCGGCGGTGCCGTCATTGGCCGTCCGCTGACCGTGTCCCGGGCTTGACGTCTCGGGCTTCGCCTCAGGGCTGCTATGGCCGTCGCGTGGAGACTTCAGCCGCTTCGTGCGACTGCTCCCCGCTGATGGTGTTGCGCGCTGGACCCCGCCGCTGCTGCCGCCGACGAAGGTGAGGGATCCCTTCATATCGAAGTGGAACTGCGGCGCCTTCCCGCCCTTCGCATTGGCCGCCGCCTTCTCCGCCTCGGCGTACAAAGGCAGGGGACTCGGGCACAGCGCGAGGTCGATGTTGTCGAAGGAGTCGAAGCCCTTCGGCAGCTTCACGACCACGTTTGGGGGTGGGTGCTGCAGGGCGTAGCGGAGCAGCTCATTTCGCTCTTCCTGTGCCTTCTTCATTATAAACTACGTTCGTAGCCTTGCTCTTTTCAATAGACGAGTGCAGCTGTTGCTCGGCTCCTGCAGCAACACACGCGCCCCGCACGAAACAATATGAGAAAGGCAGAAAAAAATGGAAAAGGCAGCAGTGCTGAAGGCTCGCAGCGATGACACGTGAAACGCACCGACTCGCACAGAAGTGCAGTCCACTTCTCCCTACACAAAAAGAAAGCGTGCGCAACGCTGGACAGATGAAATAGAAACACACAAACGATGCCTATAACAGCAACAGCAACAACGCCGGCCCATAGCAGGGTGGCGAGCACGTCTCAATGATCTACGAGAAGAAAACGTCAACTGAAGTGTCGAACGAAGAAGAGAAGGAAGCGCTGCCGATAAATCCAGATGGGGGAGAAAAACGTTCACGCAGGAGTTCGCGGAAGACGTGAGTGACGCTTCTCCGCTGCCTTTTTGTGCTTTATGGAAGAGTGTCTTCTACCGTTTGTCGTCAGGTAGAACTACTCAAACGAGCTTTTGCCACGGGTCCATGCAAGGTGATACGAGAGGAGTGCGTTGCAGAGCGTATATCTCAACGACTGGATGCGCACCGACTTTGAAAGAGAAGGAGAAAATGATGACTGGAAGGACTTGGGCAGATACCGGCGATGAAGTTAAAAAGAAGAAAAAAACGATCGTGCTCTTACGTGCACAAGGGAGCAGAAAAGGCGGCGAAAAACAAAAAGCAAATAGAGACAAAGGATAATGAAAGAGAGTAGTCGGAATTGCTGAAGTGGAGAAAGAAGGGAAGTGCTGACAACACGAAGACAGCGCCCGCTGTGATGAAGATACAGCGCAGGGAAGCAGCATGCGTACATCAAGAGACACAGAAGATGGGGTGTTCGCAATTCAACTAACACCGGCAACGGCAAAGTTTGCTTTCTAAGCTTAATCAACCGCTGTTCTCCGTCCTAAAAAAAAGGAGGGTTACTTTGTTTCGCCTTGTTGTTAGTTGGTATAAGCGTGTTCACAATTCAGGACAAAGGAAACAATTCTAACGTGCTCAGCAAAAAGAAAAAACAACAACATCGTCGTACCACCGAGTTGTCACGACACGAGAAGCGGCGTCTTTCGAGTCGCGGGTGAGGGGAGAGACAATTGGTGCTTCACGGTGCGCGCATGGCCTAGAGCTCTTCTGCTTACCGAGTGAGGCGCCGTTTTCTCAGCTTCAACTTCACGTTTACGACCCCGGCACGCCGCCGTGCGTGGCGCGCACCGCGATGGTGAACTGCTCCCTATCACGCCACAGCTGTGCCGCGTGGTTGTTCAGCGGCGATTCGTTGTTGGGGTTGTTGAGGAGGTTCTGGATGGAGAGCAGGATGGAGCTGACCGAGTACACGGCGGACCACTTCTCCTTCAGAATGTCTAGGCAGATGGCGCCGCGGGTGTCCACGTTGGGGTGAAAGCACGGCGTGACAAAGGTGACGGTGGGGGCCTCGTAGGGGTAGTTCGGGGGAAACACCAAGAGGAGGTTGTACTCGAGGTCCTCGTACGGGGTGTTCGGGACCCCTTTCACGGTGCCGATCCAGCGAAAGAGATTATCGTCCTCGGGGTAGGCTGCGATGCCCTCGGCGTCGCTCATCATGACCTCCATCAACTCCTTCTGCAGACGCGCCGCCGCACCGCTGTTGCCGCCGCCTGTCTGCATTATTGTACTCTTCGCTTGTGCTTGCTTGCACGCCGCCAGGAAATGCGTGAGAGCCGTCAGCGAAGCAAAACCTTTGTGGGACAGAGACGGAAAAGAAAGATACAAAGAAGAAGCAGGCGCTGTTGTACAGAACAGTGTAATGATATATAAACCGGTGAACAGCTGTGGTAGCGAGGGAGAGGGAACAACAAACAGTCTAAGTGGGGTAGTAAAGATAAGAATAATGAAAATGGAGTTCGGGGGACACAAACGTGAAGTGCCGAATGGAAAGCAGGCGGGGGAAGCTATTCTTTGACGCTGCTCTTGAAGTGATAACGGCGAGATGCTGCGTTAGAGGAGAGCGACGTACGCGGCCTATGCGGTGAACAAGAGAACGTGACTTGGCTGAGAAGTGCGGTAGATGAGGCGTGGACGGAGAAGATAAAGAAGTAGAGGAGCCGCCGCAAAGAAGCAACAGGGTGTACCGGCTGCGTGGCCCATCAGCAGAAAGCCGCTAAGGGAGTGAGAAGAAGCGTGAATACGTACATCGACCCAACACGCTCTCTGCGCCTCTCGACACTCCGCTGGGGTACAACCGAGGAAAACGCATTAACGAGCGGCACAGCGTCAATCTTCCATTACTCTTCTTCTTTCGATTTGTCGTGGTGCCGCAACGACGTCAGGCACGGTACATTACGTTGCTGCCAAGCTGCAGATGCGCGATAGATGCATCGAGAGCGCCAACCGATCCCTTCACATGGAGGAGGTGACCAAAACAAAAACAGAGACCACAGAGTTGAAGGAGAAAGAAGGAAGAGGGAAGGGGAAGGAGGGGCACGCTCAAGACACATCACATACGTCTTTCCCCAAGCCGCACGTCATGGAGGAAAGGGGCACACACAGCAATTAGGAGTGCAGAAGGTGCGGGAGAACTTCGCGGGTGTACCAGTCGGCGTCGTTGCTCTCCATCGTCCCCGTCGCATCCACCGCGCCGGCGGCACCCGCCGTATCCCACAGCTGCAAAAAGTGCTGCGCAACGTCGTCGCCAACGTACTGCTCAAAGGGCCGACCCAACGCCACCTCCTGCGTCACGCTGCGCCGCTCCACATCTCGGCGAGCCACCACCCGATTCACCGCGGCCGACTGCCCCGTCCCACGCGCGGCCGCAGCGCTCGTCGCGGCCGCCTCCATCGCGGCCGTCCACTCCGCTGGGTAAAAAAAACGAAGGACGTGCTGCAGCAGCACCGCCATGACGGACACGCGCATCGGGTCCACGGCGGCGTAGACGTCCTCAAACGGGATGGCGGCACACCGACCAGCAATGGAGGAGGAGTGGGCCGTCGACGTGTTCGTTACGGCGCTGCTCTGTGGGGCCACGCGAGACGGAAACTCAGAGGGCAAGTCCGCCGCTGTGACGTGGTCCTGCGGAAGTGCACGGCGCTCCTGCACGAGGGGGTGACTGCGCAACGGGGTCGTGAATTCAACGATGGGCGGCTCGAAGGGGTAGCGGCTGGGGAAGTACGCGTGGAAGGCGAAGCAGCCGCGGTACCACGGCGAGGACGGGCCGCGGATGTGCACGAGCCCTCTCCAAGCGTGGTCGATCGTCAGCATCGGATCATCTGAGGGGGTGCTGCCGCCGTCCACCGGTGGCGCTGTTAAACCTTCGACACCGTAGAGCGGAGGGAGGAGGAGGATGTCATTGAGGTTCAGGGTAGAGGAGTCGGACGCCGATGGCGGCTCCGCCCCTGTCGCTGACTTGCTAGGGTCCGCGTCGTTGCTGCTCCTCTGCGTGGCGAGAATCAGCAACTCCCTGCGAAGGTACAAGGCACGGTAGAGGTAGTCCCGAGTGGAGGTGGAGCCACCCAATGCGGTAAAAGGCGGGGTGGAAGTGGCCATCAGGCCCAACAAGGAGATGTGAATGGTGGTGGTAATACCGGTGTGTTTCACAGAGGGTGGGCTAGCTACAACGCAGGATGCTTTTCTGAGCTGTGTTGTGTGTGAACCCCGCTGTGGTGACTGTGTTGGGGAAAGGAGAACGCAGAGGCGGCGTAGGCGCAGAGCGAAAGCGCGAGCGAGCGTCAAAGAGGCAGCAATGGAAACAAAAGAAGTGGACCGTCGAGGCACGTACATGAAGGGGCGGTAATCCGTGGAAGGAATGCGACTGCGTCCCAGTCTGGCAACTCGCACCGTGCTGTTGTGTGAGCGACATCCGGATACAACACAAAATGTACCGGAAACTTTGCAGCGCTCTTGTTTTGGAGATGAAACGAGGAGCCGTGTGTAGCGGCGCTTCGGCCGTAGCAGAGATGGGGCTTCCGTTTTCTTTCCTTTAAAAAAACTCCTTACATTGTTCGTCACGATGACGCACCCGTCAAACACATCCAGTGGGAAAGAGAGGGAGAGAGCGCAAGGCAACGAAGACGGCACAGCGCTCCACGTCACAGAGAAGCCAGCATTCGAACTGCGTTGGGCGCCTACGCCCTTAGTACATTTGGCAAGATAGAATAAAAAGAATGCTCCGTCGCGGAGGAGGCCTAAACACACGGCAGCGGTGCAGACGCACAGAAATCCAAACAAACCACCAAAATCAAAAGAAAAGAAGACGCGGAGACACAACGCGGCAGCCGAGTGCTCGAATCACACATTGCTGAGGAACGCGACACAGCACGACAGGTGCGGCGCAGCTCGATGCACAGCAACATCGTCGTACCTCTCGGAGATACAGCGGTACTCTTTCTGTTGTCGTCGTTGCCTGTCAACCGCACGCAACATCGCTTCAGCAAAGCTTGCGTGTTTAGCGTGTCGACTAGAGCTTGTAATGTCGCCGCCTTCCGCACGTACAGGTCTTGCCTTTCCTTCGCAGAGTGGTACTAGTGGCAAGGCAGTGACGTGGGGAGCGCCATACCGGTCACGGCAGCGGCACCACCTCTCTGCCGCCGCCACCACCACAACAAACAATTTGCCATATCGCTCATACACGCTTTTCGGGCAGTAGATATATATTTTAAATCGCGTTGTGTAGACAAAATGGGTCGGGAAGTAAAAAGAAGAAAAACAAACATCGCTGCGCCACGCATTACCGCAGCAGCGAACCGCCGGAAACGTGGATGGTGTCGAAAGAAGAAGCGAAAGAATTACAGTAGAAAAGGAAACCAACTTGTTCACATCTGTGCCCTCAGTGCCGTTTGGGAACGCGACAGACTGAAGAGAAAAACGATGGAGAGAGAGGAAGAAGAGAACAGCAAACTACATAAATTGCGATACCGACGTGGTAAGGCAGCGACAGCAAAACGGAAGAACAAAGAGCCACATAACACCAGAGCAAAGAGGGAAAATAATTAGATGAAAAGTGCAGATGAGAACATCGCCCGTGACAACCGACCAGGCCCATTTTCTGATGTTTCTGGGAATAGATCTGGGAAGAGGAAATACGAAGAGGGAAAAGCGCTATACAAACACAATGACAATAATAATAAAAGAAATGATAGAAGCTCGTAGACAGTTTTCTCTCTCGCCACGCTGCAGCTTCGTATCGCTTCTCGCTAAGGCAACGAAACATCAAGAACAGTCAAGCAACACAAGAGAGAAGAGGCTTCCACAGATGCAGTAAGAAGAAAAGAACACAAAAAGTTCTAATGACAAAAAAAGACAGTCAAGAAAAAGGGTGAAGTGGATTGTGAGCAGCTGAGCTCTTTGGTGCCTGCCCTCATCCATCTCGCTCCCTCATACACGCCAACACAGGAAGGAGATGAGAGAACAGTACATACATCCATATATATATATATATATATATATATATGAGTGTGTGAGAGCTCC